TCTCCTGACAGGTGGCAGAATCATGTATACTAACATATATAGAATCTCCTGACAGGTGGCATATATACTAACATATATAGAATCTCCTGACAGGTGGCAGGATCATGTATACTAACATATATAGAATCTCCTGACAGGTGGCATATATACTAACATATATAGAATCTCCTGACAGGTGGCATGTATACCAATATATATAGAATCTATATAGAATCTCCTGACAGGTGGCAGGATACATATATACTATATATAGAATCTCCTGACAGGTGGCATATATACTAACATATATAGAATCTCCTGACAGGTGGCATGTATACCAACATATATAGAATCTCCTGACAGGTGGCAGGATCATGTATACCAACATATATAGAATCTCCTGACAGGTGGCAGAATCATGTATACTAACATATATAGAATCTCCTGACAGGTGGCATATATACTAACATATATAGAATCTCCTGACAGGTGGCATGTATACCAACATATATAGAATCTCCTGACAGGTGGCAGGATCATGTATACCAACATATATAGAATCTCCTGACAGGTGGCAAGTATACTAACATATATAGAATCTCCTGACAGGTGGCATGTATACCAACATATATAGAATCTCCTGACAGGTGGCAGGATCATGTATACTAACATATATAGAATCTCCTGACAGGTGGCATGTATACTAACATATATAGAATCTCCTGACAGGTGGCATGTATACTAACATATATAGAATCTCCTGACAGGTGGCATGTATACTAACATATATAGAATCTCCTGACAGGTGGCAGGATCATGTATACTAACATATATAGAATCTCCTGACAGGTGGCATATATACTAACATATATAGAATCTCCTGACAGGTGGCATGTATACCAACATATATAGAATCTCCTGACAGGTGGCATATATACTAACATATATAGAATCTCCTGACAGGTGGCATGTATACCAACATATATAGAATCTCCTGACAGGTGGCATGTATACCAACATATATAGAATCTCCTGACAGGTGGCAGGATCATGTATACTAACATATATAGAATCTCCTGACAGGTGGCATGTATACTAACATATATAGAATCTCCTGACAGGTGGCATGTATACTAACATATATTGAATCTCCTGACAGGTGGTAGGATCATGTATACCAACATAAAAGTCGTCACTAGATCAAGTACACGCCTTTAACAACAATCGCTGTGATCAGACAGTATATATAGCACATCTACTTTCTGTTTGAGAACTTTGAGTCAGTACATTTAAGAGTGTACCAACTGAAGAAACACGGCCAGGCAAAGTAATTGTAAAATAGAAAGGTCATTCTGTTTCCAAGTAAACTCTGTCAGTTAACATTTAAGAAGGTAGCACAAATAGATTCCTCCGGATCCCGTATTTACCAACATTTGACCAATAGTCCAGATGTATTCTGCTACAAGCCACCCCAAAACCGATGTTTATTGCAATTCTTACGAAAACAAGTTATGTATAGGGAACGAGACATAGATGTTCAACTCTGAGCACCAGCGGCCTTTAAATGCTGAGCAAAGCTTGTCGGAAAGTGATTGTCAAACATAATACAAGTACAGAAGAAGACGGACGTTTATATGCTGTTTTCCTATTATATTTGGCCAGCAGTTCAGATACCATACAGGGAAGGGAACACTATCAACACTAGGTTCGTTATTAGAGACAATGCTTTTAAAACAGTCACTGAATTGTTAACGACAAAAATATTATTGTACAAGCGTTTTCATAACAAGAAAATGTATAGGCTGAGTGAATGAACTTTTCAATAAGTTAATAATTGTATCTTACAGCTGCTTCGTCCTTCGTAAGGAAAGCCATGCTGCAGAGTTGGAAGGCATGACGACTATATTGCATTTTGTTCGGTAACGGTAAAAAAATGTTGATTTTGTAATTTTATTGTCAGGGTTACATGATTTGGATGAAAATAGTGGAAATCGGTTTTTTTCCTACCGACAGCACTGCTGGTTATTGAGGTTTAATAATGAATTACAAAAATACTCATCGACGTGGTATTATTTGATAAGTCACGTTAAAACCGCCATCATCCGCTTCATCCTATCCTTGTGTTTCTCAGGAAGCCGAGACCGGTCTATATTGACGCGGTTGTGTCCCCGGACAAGACACTTTACCCTGATTGGTCTGGACGGCATGTGACGTGCCTCCCGTATGCTTTACAGTGAGGTAGCCACCAGCTAGTACAAGGAAACCAAAAAGACACTGACTGTTGACGGAGTGACAAGTAAACATACTGTGAATACTAACCATCCTTTTTGTATCGAGGGTTACCACTTCCGCAATAGCAACTTCCGGGTGTAATACAGTATTTGTGTGGCCCGGTAGTGGTAAACCCTATCAAATATTGTGGTACAGATGTCGATGTCTCCTGGTCGCTGCACTGGCAGTAGCACCAACTAAATGAAGCACTGTATTCATGTGTCACTTTTAAGATAAACTTTAAATCATAGTTTATGTGTAAATTATGTCAGTCACGTGTTTCCCGACCCCGTCATAGTTACATCACTGATCTGTCAAAACCATGATTTCAGGATTATCTTATAACACACGTAGTTTGATTATAAAAGCAATAATACCTACATATCTTTGTAGTAAAGAACTTTTGTGTGATCGTGAGGCATTATATTAGCGAAACAAAACAAACATTTGTCTTCATTAGCACTTAAGGATTTCCATATCGGTTTTTTAATCAACGTGTAAATTAAATAGATTGTTCTTTAATATGTGTGAATTCTATAAAATAAACCCAAATCAGTCCATGTTGAATATTCTTAACAAGTTCATTTTTTTTAGATATAGTAAAAAGCAATAGCACTATCACTTTAAAACAGACTTCCGCTTCGCTGTACGATGTGAATGATAGCTAAAGGGAAGTAACTCTTATATCACATATTGCTTAAAAAAATCCAACACTATAGCGCGTGGACAACTTGATTAAGCTCATTTTCTTCTACCTGTGCATTTGGATCAACACAGAGCCCTTCACAATTTTAGGTCTCTAATAGAACACTCCAAAATGAACATTAATACGTAGTCATTAGTATTGTATCCGGGTCAACGTTTGACCTACCTTTATCGGAAACTGCAAACTGAAATGGAAGACATTCTTTTTCTTTTGTTACGTATGATATTTCCATCAAATATTACAAATCCGGCGTTATCGGGGTATTCCGGAAATTAGAGGGTCGCATGTAATTAAGTTTAATCTGAAGTGTCTCTTACCTTACTTCGATCAGATGCCGACTGCTGCTGTCACGTGACATAACGATAGAGAGGACGGACACTTAAAAACAAGATCACTCACTTTGATATAACAACCATCACAGCAAAGTCTTCATGATCATACAGATTTGGAAATAATTCTTCATGCAATAATAAATTTCAACCAGTGTTAGTGTAATGTACATGTGTACATAGTTGTAGTATCACGAGGGAATAACAGAGCTGTCATAACAAAAAAGACTAACCTCGCTACTGTCTTCTAAAGGAACAATATTACATAAGGACTAACCTGATTTTTAGATTAGCTACTGTCATACAAAGGAATATACTAGCTACTGTTACACAAAGGAATATACTAGCTACTGTTACACAAAGGAATATACTAGCTACTGTTACACAAAGGAATATACTAGCTACTGTTACACAAAGGAATATACTAGCTACTGTTACACAAAGAAAGAAGCCAGTTATTCTCACATAAAGGAATATACTAGCTACTGTTACACAAAGGAATATACTAGCTACTGTTACACAAAGGAATATACTAGCTACTGTTACACAAAGAAAGAAGCCAGTTATTCTCACATAAAGGAATATACTAGCTACTGTTACACAAAGGAATATACTAGCTACTGTTACATAAAGAAAGAAGCCAGTTATTCTCACATAAAGGAATATACTAGCTACTGTTCCACAAAGGAATATACTAGCTACTGTTACACAAAGGAATATACTAGCTACTGTTACACAAAGGAATATACTAGCTACTGTTACACAAAGAAAGAAGCTAGTTATTCTCATATAAAGGAATATACTAGCTACTGTCACATAAAGTAATATACTAGCTACTGTCACATAAATGAATAGACAAGCCAATATCATATAAAATAGACTTGATACAATGACAAAGGAATACTCTAGTTACTGTCACATAAAAAATAGAGTAACTTCATATACAAAAAGGAATAATCTAGCTGTTGTCACAAAAAAGGAATAGACAAGCTACTATAACACAAAAGATAAGACTATCTGCTGTCGCTTAAAGGATTATACTATATACAGCTACACAAGGAAATAGACCAGCTACTGTCTTATAAAGGAATAGTTTAGCTACTGTCACATAGAGAAAAACAGTAGCTATCGACAAATAAGGGTTTATACAAGCTAAAATCACATAAAGGAATAATTTTGCTACTCTCACATAACTTTATAGACTAGATAGAGCAACATAAAGTAATAGACAAGCTACTGTCTCACATGTAAATAATCTAGCTACTGTCACATAAAGGAATAGACTAGCTATATAGAGGAACAGACAAGATACATTTGCAAAAAGGAAGAAAAATGTATCAGTTTTAACAAGCAACATAAAGAGATACAGTGTCTTTACAATCACTAGAGTCAACGCAAATCAGTTCAATTTGTCAGTGTACTTAGTAGTTCCTGTCATATATCATTTATATATTTACTTACTTCTAATACACAATGTATATTCTGAAGTAACACCTGACTTCTTCCTTCTAGAAAAAGAAAGTAACGCGTTGTTCAATTCATTCAGCAGGTGGTGGTAACTTAAAATTGTTTTCTCGTGCAGGGCACACTGTATCAGACAACACGTGGGAAACACACGTAGGCATACACCTAGTATATACTCTACTATGTTTGACTGGAAATGGTGTACAGTAGACATGACTATATGGTGGACATAGGTTATGCTTTTATTATTGATGAAAAAACAAAATGTTGATGAAGATATCATAAGTCGAAATGTTTATAAACCAGCATCGTTTTTAACAACTTTTATACCTGTACCAACCAATCCCTTCCACCCGCGGGAATCCCCCACCACCCTAAGAAAATCCCCTGCCATCCACCGAGAATCCCCCTCCACCCACCGAGAATCACCTTCATCCACCGAGAATCTCCTCCACCCACCGAGAATCTCCTCCACCCACCGAGAATCTCCTTCATCCACCGAGAATCTCCTCCACCCACCGAGAATCACCTTCATCCACCGAGAATCTCCTCCACCCACCGAGAATCTCCTTCATCCACCGAGAATCTCCTCCACGCACCGAGAATCTCCTTCATCCACCGAGAATCTCCTCCACCCACCGAGAATCTCCTTCATCCACCGAGAATCTCCTCCACCCATTGAGAATCCCCTCCACCCACTGAGAATCCCCACTCCACCCATCGGAAATCCCCCTCCACTCAAGGAGAATCCCCTTTCATCCACCGAGAATCCCCCTCTACCCACAGAGAATTCCCCTTCCACCCACTGAGAATCCCCACTCCACCCATCGGAAATCCCCCTCCACTCAAGGAGAATCCCCTTTCATCCACCGAGAATCCCCCTCCACCCACTGAGAATTCCCCTCCACCCACCGAGAATCTCCCATCCACGCACCGAGAATTCCCCTCCACCCACCGAGAATCTCCCATACACCAATCGAGAATTCCCCCTCCACCCACCGAGAATTCCCCTCCACCCACCGATAATTCCCCTCCACCCACCGAGAATTCCCCTCCACCCACCGAGAATTCCCCTCCACCCACCGAGAATCTCCCATCCACCCACCGAGAATTCCCCCTCCACCCACCGAGAATTCCCCTCCACCCACCGAGAATTCCCCTCCACCCACCGAGAATCTCCCATCTACCCACCGAGAATTGCCACTCCACCCATCGAGAATTCCCCCTCCACCCACCGAGAATTCCCCTCCACTCACCGAGAATCTGCCGTCTACCCACCGAGAATTCCCCCTCCACCCACCGAAAATTCCCCTCCACCCACCGAAAATTCCCCTCCACCCACCGAGAATCTCCCATCCACTCACCGAGAATTCCCCTCAACCCACCGAGAATTCCCTCTCCACCCACCGAGAATTCCCCTCCACCAACCGAGAATTCCCCTCCACCCACCGAGGATCTCCCATCCACCCACCGAGAATTCCCCCTCCGCCCACCGAGAATTCCCCTCCACCCACCGAGAATTCCCCCTCCACCCACCGAAAATTCCCCTCCACCCACCGAGAATTCCTCCTCCACCCACCGAGAATTCCCCTCCACCCACCGAAAATTCCCCTCCACCCACCGAGAATCTCCCATCCACCCACTGAGAATTCCCCCTCCACCCACCGAGAATTCCCCTTCACCCTACGAGTTACCCCTCCACCCACCGAGAATCTCCCATCTACCCACCGAGAATTCCCCCTTCACCCATCGAGAATTCCCCCTCCATCCACCGAGAATTCCCCTTCACCCACCGAGAATTCCCTTCCACCCATCGAGAATTCCCCTCAACCCACTGAGAATTTCCCTCCACCCACCGAGAATTCCCCCTCCACCCATCGAGAATTCCCATCCACCCACCGAGAATTCCCCTCCACTCAACAAGAATTTCTTTGAATCCTGTAATAAATCAAATAAATTAAGAACTTCAGACGTCGTATTAGTGTATCCTCGGACGCGTCGGTTATCATCACAATCTAGAGAAGATTAATTAAGTTTCCTATTTGAATTGTTATGGACAGATCGAGCTACTGGTACATGAATAGAACTAGAGGATTTTGTTCTCAGAATGTCGGCGCTATGAAAACATGATATGAAAAAATGCTTCATTTTTTACAACCAAACAGAACCCAAGTAAAAATGATAATGAAGTATTCGATTATGATTAAGAAATGTATGGTATATTTTTTTAAAAATCCAATACACATGTATTTCAATTAAAATATCATATACGTATATTAAAATAAAAATAAAAATATCAATTTTGCAATTAAATGTTATGTGTGAATTAAAATGAACTTAAAGAATTCATAAGCAATGCAAACATTTTATTGACTGAAATTCAATGTCAAAGGAAAGTTTGATACAGTGATACGCAGGCTAGGGGAGGTAACTACTGCATTCTTAACTTTTATACAAAATAACGCAGTTACCTCCCTGTACACGTAAACGGCACCAGTGTTCTGGCTCGACAAAGCTTTTGAGCAGAATTTTACGAAAGTTACAATAATCATCAATTATTTATTAACTATCAATATTTTTTTTCTGAAAAGCGATATATAGAAAGATTAATGAGAATGAAGGGTAAAACAGGATATAGTTTTCAGGTTATCTATAGGCAAGTTTTGTGTACCTGATGTATCTAATGAATACATAAACAAACAGTTACAAAAATAGCAAACTAAACTCCGGTCTTTCTCACAGACGAAACAGAGTGGGACCCTAAAGTAAGCGGCGTTCTCTTGGGGAATCGTTACTTAGGCAGAACTATATTTACTCAAAGTAGTTGGCTTTCCTGCACCCATGAAGACAGACTACAAAGTCATTCACTAACGACAAGTTTGTCTAAATACATCAAGACATTTGTCCGACATGGTACAAAAATCATTGGGGCCTACTAGAATATGTCCTCGACGTTACATTTGGCACCAGTCATAAGATCAGTGAACTCTGGTATTGTCTGCGGAAAAGACGAAAGTGACGAAAACAGTCTTCTTACTGCTTTAGAATTATATGACATAATTGACTTGACGGACCACAAGAACAGCTACAGCGTCAACATGGACCCCAAAGTAAAAGAGACACTGTCAAATACAATTCTTTATTATCAAGTTCTACATTTATCCCATTGACTGGTGACTTCAACAACGTGGCTGACGACTTCAACAACGTGGCAGACGACGTCAACGTGACAGACGACGTCAACAACGTGGCAGACAACGTCAACGTGACAGACGACGTCAATAACGTGACAGACGACTTCAACAACGTGACAGACGACGTCAACAACGTGGCAGACGACTTCAACAACGTGACAGACGACTTCAACAACGTGACAGACGACTTCAACAACGTGGCAGATGACATCATCAACCTAACACATAAGACTATTAGCAGATAATTATGCTTTCAGTAACTAAATTAATGCCGGAAAAGTAGAATTAAAACGAACAAATGAAATTCTGTGTCGACGCCGATGTAAATAATTTATTTGATGTAAGTACAAACGAAATATTTGTTTCGACAAGTTCTTGATAAGTTGTGTCATACTCTGATACTTCATTCAATGCAGGCAACCGCCAAAAGATTCAAAACACAAGCGTGGCAGTTGACATTGCCTCCAAACAGTTCTTACAAAACTTAAAGCGTAATTTTTACAACCTACTTTAATATCAGTTAATTTATTGGGACAGACGACGATTTTCCCATCATTACTGAATGTGTTCTTAGTTTGAATTTGTAAAATATCTAGAAAATACCGTTTGTTTATGTTAAATTGTTAATTTCAATGTTCACCAACATTATATCTTAGAGCAGAAAGACATGTCGGGTAGAAAACACTTTTACCAATCACTTATATGTGATAGGAAAGGCTTTAGCTCGTCCCTGTCTCTAAAAACTTAAATTTATTCTGTGGAAATAAACGTAGCTTGACAAGACAAACGAAGTAGTGAAGAGTCTGTAGTTTAATGTAGGCTCAGATTGAAATACTTCGCGGTATAGGGTAAAGGGGAGTATTAATTCATTCCTACGGTACACACATACAGTTATACACAGGCACTATATTCCACACGTGCGCTATAGTCTGCTGTGTTACTGCATAGGAAAGTGCACTTTAGATTTGTGATCGATACAAGTTGTGTACGAGTTTCTCCTCTTCTAGAGTTGTCTTTCTTCCATCATTCCTTCCGCGGTGGAGATGAATTTCCTGAACAACATTTATGTGCCTCGTGATATATGAAACTTCTACAAGTTATTGAAGAAATGAGAATTTTTCTTATTCAATTACTGAATATTATCTTAATGACATATTTATATGTCGCACTTTAATACTATTAACACTATTTTCACTCTCATTTATCTTGCGTATATTTAACAAAAAATATCAAAATATGTTAATAGTTGCTAGCAAATGTGTACGAAAAACAGCTAGGATTTTAAAGGGTTGTTCATAATATCACGATTTCCCAAGAAAGATGTCGGCAGCTGGCATACAGTTTCCTGATATACAGGTTGTTGACGTACACCATTTTGTATTTATGGTTGCCATGGGGATATAATTATGAATAATTATTTTTCTTTATGCGATAAGAAGATCTTCCATATCATTCCTGGTTGTTCCGTTGTCGTGTACCTTATTTGAGAACGTGACATATTATGTATTTGAATTGATCAAGATTCACATAGCAAGTGTCATCAATGAATGTATATTATATAAGTGTGTGTATGTAGCTATAACACGAGAAGTTAGATCATGGTAAAACCGAAAGCTCTATATAATCTTTTTTCTTTCTGTCATGCGACTTTGGGTGTTTTTTATATATACAAATGTATACATATATAACCTAAGGTCAGACGCACTTGATTTTCTGAAGTCAATGAGTACAAGGGAAATGTTTTTAACATACGAGTTCAAACATTCCTGACCTATCTCCAAATTACGTAATAGCCTTAAATCAGCATAGTCAGGAAGTCGACTATTGATAAGCAGGATAATTTTATTTGGTAGTATAATATATTATTGGGAACACGTCTGACTATTGCGAAGACTTTATAGCAGTGTTTATAGATTGTAAGAATAGAAGAAAAAAAATGGTTGTATCATTTTTTTCTTCTTGTTGTTTTTAAAAATAATTATGTTCTCTCGTAATTAAAACCAATGACGTCAACAAACCATGATACGGTATAGTCATTACAGAAGTGTAAATAATACATTACTGACGAAGTAGGAACTCATTAGTATGTTTTACAGATAATTATATACCTTACATCTATTCAAAGTAACGATACAGATAGACCGAAATAGCACGTGTTTCCCGAGAACATTGATCCTACAACAATCTGTTAATTGTGGGGAAATTCCAGTATGGACTGTACCAAGAGATGTTTTCGCAGCGTTATTGTGAAACAGCACACAATAGTAGAAAACCATGGTAACCAGAATAACAACACACTACATCTAATTAATTACAATTTATTGTAATGTGTATTCCGTCACGTTTTTGTACTTATTCAGCAAACTGGTATCACTTAAGGATGTCTGGATGCTTGGCTGGCAGTAGGACGTAATTCAATATAAAATGAATTCCAACGTAACATCTTACACTTTCGTGTTTTAACATGCTTCTTGTCTATATATAGTTGTACTTTAAGCTGGAATTGGAGACTTTATATGATATGTTAAAGAAATATCGCTCGTTGCCTATGTTTTTGGCGGTATAGTTCGGTTACTAGCGTCAACAATTTTAACGTTTTCTGGTTGCTAAGGTACTTTTCTTGAGTATAACTATAAAAGTCTGTGGTAAATTTCAACTTTTACATAAATTATCACAAATTTTAAAGTCGTAAATTCCGAACATGTGGACATATTTCCCTGATTTTAGGATCAGAAAACTAACAGTTTAAGTTTGTCCCTTAATCTTCGTAAAGCTGCCAAAGCAACTACCTTTTCTTTAATCATGAAAAGTATCTTCAAAAATTTCTGCAATCATGAAGTCTTAAAAAGTTTATACTAGAAAATGATCAAATAAATTATTTAAGTCCTTTTGTAAAATGTTCATTTTTTGTTTGTTATGCAGTTTGAAGTTTTTTAAATCAAATTTAGTATTTTTCTCATTATTTCCCCCTTATATCCACGTAGCATACTATTATCTTTTAATGAAAGAAGAACATTTTTTCCCTCCGAAATATCACAGAAAACCTGTTATTCAGGAAAAATTAACAAAGACGTGAAAATTAATGACTTCCTGTAACACATGTACACATGTTTGGACTCGTTTAACGGAAGAAGTAGAGTAACACATTTTAAAATCCTCTCCTCAGATCTAACCTTACAAACAATAATCACACCAACAAAAATTCAATACTTACTTTTTTAAACACTTCTCAGAGGAGTTCACCCCTAACTGGTGTAGGTGACGTTTTAATAGATTTCAATGACTGTAACCAATGTCTTTGTGCACCCCTCCCCCATTTTCTAAGAGAATAAATAAACTTTATTTAAGATAGGAAATATCAATGTGATTTGTTAAGATTTTTTCCCGAATATTTGTGCATTTTGTATTTAAAAAACCCAAATACCTCATACGACATCGAAAGTCAATTAAGCGACACATTATTACGCTGATTAAATTAACACCAGGATTAACGTCGTTTTTAACAATAAATTACATTTTTGGAAAAGACTTAATAAAAGAATAACAATATTACTTTCCTAGATATATTAGAAGTGTTAAAATGTTATTTCCCCTTACAATAATGATTTATTATTAATCTTTTACCACACGAATATGCCACTTAAACCATAAAATATTCCGATTCAAAATTTGAAAATAAAATATCAATAAATTTGCACCAACATTTGTTTGCTTTAAATGCCTTTCGATAGAAATGATTAAGACTGAAATCCCCGTGCGGCATTTGTCATCCAATATATCATGTTTATTGTTAAAAATAAAAACTGCTAATACATTATATCTATATTGAAATAATTCCCATCTCCTCTTTGTACACCCAGGGCTATTTTCACGAGCTTTCAACGATATTGAAAAAGGATGTCTTACATGAAAAATTCGAGGAAGTTGAGTCATATGGCAATAAATGGGATGACTCGGATTTTGATACTTCTTGTGAAATATTACTTTCATCAAAGTCGAATTCAAATAAATTAAAGTCTGTTTCATTTCTGTCTGTAATTAGCAAATTAGGTGTGTGTCGTCACACATTTTAGTAAAGTTTCGTGACGTCACGAATTCTACCAGGGTGCCAAGTGGTCACATGGTGTACATAGTAACATGACATTACATTTTCATAACCAATAATTTATATACCTCTATTTTGGAGTAGGCGGCGAAAGACAACTTTAACATTCACTGAGACAGATACAGACCGCAAAATCTGCAACAAATAAATGTTTTCGTGAAATTAAATGAAACGGAAATAATAACATAGAAAGATCTTAATTATTCCGAAACATATGGACTTGTAGAAAATGTAAATGATTAGGAGTATCTCGTTAAAAAACAGAATTAAAGCGTGATATCATACCAGAGGACACTGGCCCTTAACGGTCACATAACAATCGAAGAATCGACGGATAGACCACAGAATTTGCTGATAGTTGTCGAACAAATCTGATGAATTCAAATTTTTTAACATTCTTAGAAAGGATCCAGAAACTCATTAATGGTAGGTTTTGTTAATGAAAACAGTTGCTTATCATGTTACAAAATGGTTACTGTGGTTACCATGTTGAAGTTCTGATCAGGCTAAAAACAAATAACAACATATTACCTGTTTTTTTCCTTAACAAATTAAACTCCACTTCAGTGGTGTGAATGAAACATGTGAAGTAGTTCAGAATATCTATTATAGGTAATTTTGTTAGATTTTGGACCAAACCAAAAATAGGGTTTGATCAGGACAATCTCAGGAACATGCACGTTTGATATCACTGTCACTCCCTAGTACTGTTTTAGACCAATTTTTGTTGAAATCCACCCAGAAATGAAGAAGAAATACCGTTTTTTGGCAAAACATTGCCTAATGTCCCCTTTTGGCAAGGCCCCTAAGTCCCTAGGGGTCAAAGAAATATTATGAATTTAAGAATCATTACCCAACTGCAATGCTGTTTCAGACCAAATTTGGTTGAAGTCCATTCAAGCCTCAAGGAAGAGTAACGTTTGAAGCAAACTATTGACTAACTTCCCCATTTGGGGCCCGCCACTAAATCCCTAGAGGTCAAATCAACTTTCTGAATTTAAGAATTAATTGTCCATCCCTAATGGTGTTTCAGACAAAATTTGAAAGAAATCCATTCAAGCATTCTGGAGGAGTGGAGTAGCGTTTTGAAGAAAAGTATTGCCTGACTTCCATTTTTGAGCCCCATCTCCAGGTCCCTAG